TGTTTAGCTTTGTAGGAGGAGTTTTATAAAATGTCGAGTTGTAGTTTGACCATCATTCTGCAACTTTGTCTGGTATTCTGCCAAAACATCTAGGGTTGATTAGAAGAGGTACTAATTAAATAACTTCAGAAAAGGGGTCACATGAAAGTCCTTCATTTGCCAAGCACAGAGAATTTACTACTACGGGCGAGTCTCCCTGGACATCCCGACATCATCTGCTTTTTGTGCTTTTGGCTGATATTCACAGAATTAATCACTAAAATTCATATTCATTTGCAACCTGAAACAAAATTTTTTTAAGTATATAAATTTTATATGAACAATATCATTGCTTGTTTTAAAAATACGACCACTGAAATTCAAAGAACTGTTCTGTGGTTCAAGAGAGTCTTTTGTACTTACAATTAGTTAAAACAGTAATTAAAAATTATTTTATTTATTATAGCTTAATTATAATAACATAATATAACAAAACTGAATTTTAAGGAACATGAATAAATATATAAATGCCCAAAGTTGAACACAATGTAATTGAACAGTTAATTATGTATGATGATCTGCAGAATGAGAGTATCAGCTTATATTACTTAAAAAAGGAAACTGCCTACTTAATTTTTGTACAAAATAAGAATAGAAAAAATATTTTACATCCATCCACCATATTTCCCAAATGAATCTGCAGGAATTGCTCATGACCATTTGGTTCCTTGTTGTGTGTGCAATAATCAGACTATATTTGCCTGTACCGATATCTATTATAAATATATTTAAAAAGGGGGGGGAAGATAGTGTTTTATCAAGAATGGCAGTGAATTTTTTCTAAAACTTATGAAAATATATTTTTTAAATATCAGATTTTGTCATTTGTTTGAGTATTTCAAGAACCTCAAAAGAAGTAATGAATTTGTTTTATAGGGATGTATTATTAATAAATAGATACGTTTAATTATTTGTGTGATTTTAAAAATAAAGAATTTAGGGGGAAATGTGCTTTTATTTTTATTCTTTTAATCTGTATTTAACTGTTCTGTATTCATTTAAAGATTTCGCCCATTTCTGTTGTTTTGTGCATCAGCAACATTACATAAATATTTATTATTAATGTAGAAGCACACATGTTAGTAAGATTAATTTGTGAGCTAGTTAGTATTTTTAGAGCAAGAAGGAGAAATTTAAAGGAATATTTTTATGGCCATTGTCAATAAAAGTACTATATATAAATAGCATGTTTAATTTAATATAATTACTCAAAGGTGCTAATTGGAGATTTGTTTCATGGATAAGGCAGTCATGAACTTTACAACTTCTTGTTATTTGAAGCTTATTTTGGAAGATGTGAAAGTATAGATAGTTACTTATTTGTATAGATTACATATGTGCATCATAAGCGTTTTACATGAAATATGATCATGTTGCTTGGCGTATTAACTACAAGCTGAAGTTAAAAGTGAGATGAATGAGAGTATTCAAATTATAGCTAATTAAGCTATTTAATTAATAGAGAAAGCTCTAATAGTATTAATTTGATTAGTTTTTAAAGTTAAGAAAAGTAATATCCTTAGATAGAAATTACTGTTATGCTTTCCCACCATTGTATTAAGTTGGGTGTCATCAATGTTTTATAAGAATCGTATTGCATCTATCAATTTTAAAATGACACACTTCAGATAGATTAAATATGAGCATACATTACTGTTTTTAGAGCAGAAAGAGTAAATAATTATATTAAAAGGAAGATGTTAAGAACTATTAAAGTTTCATTTCCTGTTCTAAAAATAGTTATTTTTCTGAGAAGTATATCTAAATTTATAATTATAGTGCATAATTCATAATTATAGTGCATAATTCATTATTATTCTACATAAGTCATAATTATACTATGTATACTACATAATTCTTACATATTATGAAAATTTAAAATTAATTATCCATTGGTAATCATATCAAAACTTTTCATAATCAGTAATAGTGAAATGATACTTTTGTCCCTTCATAGCAAAGTAAAGCGATTTTAAAATTATTCCACAAATATTTTTTTTTTGCTCATGTGATTGCTTCAGAAGCATGTAGATTTTTATGCTTCAAATTTAACCTTTTGACTGCTACGTGGTGCAAAAGCACTGCGTTCATTTGTCTCGAAAACCGTGATGCAGTTAGTTATTTTAAAATGCACTTGTGTTACAAAGTATGCGTGAGGTCAGACTACATTCACATCCACGAAGATGAACACAGCGCTTTTGCGCCGCTTAGCAATCAAACGGTTAAGCAAGTACCTGTTTCATCGTTTTGCAATTTCCTGATTTTTGACAAATGTATTTAGTAACTAAATAAACTATTCTATTAAATAAAAGATGGTATTTCATGTACAACTTCTGTTTGGAATGTGCTAACTACTACATTATTACATTACAATATACTTAAAGTTTGGAAATTTAATAGTGATCATAGCAGTATAGAAAGAATATAGTGGCATGTGAGATTTTGACTTGGCATACAAGTTTGACCCCTTCAGTCATTTTTGGTATACTGTCTGTCAGCATGTTTAAATATTGTGCAGTCGGTGCAGAATAGTAGCAGCAGTGTTCAAATTCGAGCAAAGTTTGTGGGTAAAAATTAAAACTCATCCAGACCTCAAAGAAATATATCAAAGGAATATTCCTTTAAGTCCTAGACCATTCAATTATGTCAGAAAGTGGGTGAACAGATTGAAATGCAGATCTGAGAAAATAAGCAATGAAGTCCAGTCCAGCAGTGCATCATGGCAGATAGATACCTAATTGCCATGTCTGATATGCTGGTGGTTGGTTAATTTTAAGTTGTCATGAGTTTACTTATGTAACTAGTATAGCATATATCATGTGCTGACAGGTTGATATTTATTGCTTTTTAGATTGCTACATTGTGATTCATATTTATGAAGTATCCAATAGATAGCCTGTTATTGCTGCAACTATGCACAATTCTTGCAAGCTCCATGAAGTTCTACACCAGAAATGAAATCACTTTTGAACTACTTTACTTGTTATCTTTCGTGAAAATGCACATTTTTCTTATACTTATGTTAACAAGATGAAATTGGAAAAGATTGCATCACTCTTTACTTCAGATATTATCCCTTTAGTTATTCCCTAATTAAAAAAAAAATAAGGCTTTTATTTCTAAATAGTTCTCGATATTATGCAGGAATTCCATGCCTTTCTCTATTCTTGATATTAACAAATAATGGCTGCTGGTGTCATTTTAAAGTTCCTATACTATGGAAAAGTGTATCGGCAATACTAGTAAATATAAGCAGATAATGTTAATAAATGCTATAAACTGTTAATGAATCGGTATGTATGTTTAACATTGGGTTCACTGTTAAATTTTCAATCCTAGTATATGACTCATGATAAGAAGCAGAAATAAAATATCTTTTAAACTGCAGAGAGTTTGACTAACATATTTTCTAAAAATTGGAAGTTTAATATAGTTAATTAAATTAATAAATGTGTAAATATCCATTGAATAAAGTCTCATGTGTAGACTTTTAAAAGGTCTTCTAATTTGGGGGATAAACTTTCTGTTGTAAAATTTTATCTTAAATAAATTTAAACATTGAATGCACAGGTTACTGAATTTCTGAGAGAGTATTTTACTTTGTTTATTATTAGAAATAAAAGTGTAAAAAATTCTATGGGCAGAAAAGAATTTTGCATTTAACTAATATTTTTCTATTTCTTGAGTATTCATGGTGATGGTGCATGCTGAATCTCTTCTATTTTTTGCACCCTGTTACAGTTGCTTCTTTCACTGTAAGTACAATTTCTTTTTTCTTGTTTTTCATATAACTGGGATATGTAACTAAGATCATTCTTTTAACAAGTTTCAGAGAAAAACTTTTATACCTCTTGTAGTATTTCTTTTTGCTATTGCTTATATTTTAACAATTGCTTCATTTATTGTATTTAAATTTCTTCATTTATTGTATTTAAATAATACATTTCAGACTGATTTGATTATATGCATATAATATGGTTTGTTGTTGGATTATTAAGTTATTAATATGTATCACTAATCATTGATGAGCAAAAACTTTTTGTTCCTTCTTTTGTTCATTTGTTATATACACACAAGTTTCAGTCACAGTTTTCCCAAATCATTGATTCACATAGTACCAGTTTATAGTTCATAACAAATTAATAAATTTCCATATTTTGTATCGAAGATAGCAAGGAAATATAGCAAAATACTGCAACTGAGAATCCTAAAAGTAATCATCAAATCTTGATTCCCAAGCTATATGCAGATAACTTAATTGTCCTTTAACTTAATTGTTTTTTAAATTTTAGATTGAACAGTTTTTTTTTATTAGTGAATTGAAGAAGCTATTTAAAACCTTTCATATCATTCTGTCCCTTTTACTTAACAAATAGCATCCCCCCGCTTTTTTTTCCTTCTTTTTTTAAATCAGTATGTGTTTATTTGAGAAGTAAATTATAGTAGCAGTAGCATATATTTATAGTCATCTTTCAAATAACCAACCCTATAATTTTCATTAATTTATTTAGCTTTCATCATATTAGAATCAAGTACTTCTTTTATTCTAAAAATATGTATAATCATAATTATTTTAATGTAGCTATTTTATGTGTAATTTTGTGTAATAAGTATCATTTGGGTTTGCTGCGAGAGCAGTCTAAATGAAAGTAAACTAGTTTGGATATCTTATGTAAATAATTTTACTTGTCCATAGCTTAATATTGTCTGGCATCTTGTTATCTAAAAGAACATCATATTAATACATAAGATATAAGTCATCCCATTCCTTGTCAAAAATTAATTTTGAAGCAATGGTTTTATTCATTGTGTTTCCATGGGAATACAAAAGTGGGTAGTAAATTTAAATATTAGGTAGCTAATGCAATCAAATTCTAAATGAAAATTAAAATATTGTTGTATTAATGTTGTGCTCTAATAATTAGATTTTGTATTAATATGGATGATGCTTTTTTTTATAGGAAATTATTATAAATAAGCATCCAGGAGAAAAACTTGGAATGGGTATCAAAGGAGGAGTTGGTGGACAAAGTGGGAATCCAAATGATTCTGAAGATGAAGGGATATTCATTTCATGGGTAAGGAAAATAAATTCAAGAGTATATTATCCATCAGTATTTGGATGTCACGCTGAAATTTTTGAGATGTGTGCAAACAATAAGTGGCAAAAAAAATAATGTGTGGATTAAAAAGTATGAACTATTTTAGCCTAGCAGATAATTTTTTATTGGCCAATTGCAAGTAGTTAAGCACAGAATATATTTTAGGCAGAAGGCGTGCTATAATTCTCTATGATTGTAAATTCGAATTAAATCAAGAAGGATGCATTCAATGTATACAATTAGCATTTCAAAATGAAGATCCATCTTCTTCTACTGTATTCAGATTGTTTATGGAATTTTGCAGAGGTTGCAACTCTCTTCAGGATGAAGAACACTCAAAAAGATACTAAATGAAACCGGAAGAATTGCATATGCAAAAGCTATCTGCCATTATGTTCCCCATAATTTAACTGAGCACTAGAAAGAGAAGTTTGTCAGTATCAGTAAAGAAACCCTTAAATTACTAAAAGGTGGTGACCATCGCCTTATTTCTAAAATCGTAATTAGTGACGAAATGTACATACCATTTTTTTGACATTCCAATGTGTCAAGAAAGTAAAATATGGGTCTGTGAAGGTGATTGCAATGGTGAAAAGACAGTGGGCTATGAAAAAAGTAATGTATGCCGCTTTCTTCAGAAGTGCGAGACTGGTCAAAAGCCATCAAGCTGGAAGGACAGATATGTTAGAGGACTCATGCTTTACCATTACAATGCATCTTCTCATTCAGCAAGATTGAAAGATGAGTTTTTTGAACAAAGCACATCAGAGTAATAAAATATCCACTCTATTCACCTGATCTAGCTATGTGTGACTTTTGGCTGTTTTTTAATCTAAAAAAAACTTGTGTGGATGTTGTTTGCATTTCCAAAATGAGATTGATGGGGCTATAAATGCATTTTTTCCATCGTTTCCAAGAAATTAATGTCTTGAGACATTTAATCTTTAGAAAATTCTCCTACAGAAGTACATTCATGTTGGAGTAGACTACTTTGAACACTCCTAAAATTTTTTAATTATGACTTTAAAAACCTGTGTGTATCTCCAAAAACTTCAGATTGACCCTGATATAAATTTTTCTTGAAATTAATAACTTCAAATGGTTTTAATTGATATAGTAATTTGTAGATATAGCTAATGTATTTTTAAAACCTGTCATAACAGGTTTTAAAAATAACTGCTTTAAATCTCAGCCTTATAGTGTGAACAAAAGTCTGTTCCTTTCAGAAAATCTTCTAGGAAAGCATACCTCTTAAGACTTCAAGTATTCCATCTCAGATGCCTCAATAATGAATTGCTTTCTTATTGTTATTCAATACAAAATTAGTTATTTTGATCATTTAAATGCACTCTCCTTGAATGAATTTTTTAATGATAAAAGAGGTATTTGAACGAATTAGTTATTTCTTTGATCATTTAAATGTGCTCTCCTTGAATGAATTTTTTGATGATAAAGAGGTATTTGAATGAGATTGTTTTAATTATTAAAAATAAAATGTTTTGACTTGTAATGGAGTAGCACTTTATTGACTGTCACATGCACTTGATATTCTAAGGAAGTTAATCTATGTGTTTTGTAGGACCAATGTTTTGTTTTCTCTAATAAGAGAAAAATGTCAAGCTTTTAAAAAATCTCTCTGTTGTAGAATTATTATAAAACAAATATTCTTTTACTAATTTTTTTTTTCATTGATTTAAATATTGCATTAGTAAGAATCGAAGACCACTTCCTTCGCCTTTTCAACAAATCTAGCTGCAGTTCTAGATTTTTCGTCATAATTAGTTCAATATCTATTAGCAAAGTAATTAAATATTTAATTTCTAATTATGTCATCCTGATCACAAGTCACTTAAAGAAATAAAAATGGATTTCTTGCTGTATAAATTTATTTACCAAATTTGTTTCATTTATTCATTTTATGCATATTATGTTGAGAACTCTGACATTTCAACAGTGATCTAAAATTTAAGTATTAAGTTTGTACATTCTATGTTATGTCTTGAATAAATTATTATTGTCATTCATCTGTTAATTGTAAATGTAATATGTAAAATCTTTTATTTCATTAGGTGAATAGTGATGGGGCTGCTGGTTCAGATGGCCGGTTGAAACCAGGCATGAGGATAGTTGAAGTAATTTTTTTTTATATAGAATTAAATCAAAATTTAAGAAAAAAAATACTTTAATGAATTGTTTTGCATTTTTTACCAAGTAATAAAATGTGTTTCATGTGATTTGCATTTGCATACACACACATATATATATAATGATAAAATATGTGCAAATATAAATTGCAATTTAAATTAGCAGTAACCCCTTAATGCCTTATTTTAATTTGGAGCTGTCCCCTCTCTGTTCTAAAAATAGTAACCTTTCTTTTGCACTGCATCATTTCAAGACTAATCCAAGTCATATTACTGACATAACACTAGTGATGCATATAGAACTAAAACAGCCAGTAATATTACTAACCTAATCAAATGCATTGAAAAATAAAGCTAACTCATTTTGAATTAAGATTGCATCCTGAACACAAATTTCTTGTTTACTACACTTTGGCCTAGATAAACTGCTTGCTGCTTTGCTTTTTACCACAGAGCTATTCAAAATGAAAATGTTCTTGAAAAAGTGTGAGTAGTGTACCAATTTGTTTGTGGCTGCAAAATAAAAATGAATATTTAATAAGCTTCGACTGCTGTTTAACACATGATGTTCAAATTCAAATTGAATCCAAAATACAATAGCAACACAGACTATCAGAATACAATATCAGCATTATGTTCAACACATGCATCTTAGCATTGCTCTGTAACAAAAATTGTGCTGCAATACATCAGATTTGCACACCATGAGTGAAAAGAAAAGACTGTATTTAAGCATTCACCTTCATCAAGACTAACCCCTTAGCAGCAATAACAAAATAATTTAAAAGAAATTATGCTTTGATTTGAGAAACTGGAGAACTTTCTAGACCAAGCGTATATAATAATTATTTCAGATTTATGTACTAATTATTAATGTATGCAATTCATATTTGTGTATTGTATTTATTTTGTGTATGCATTGTACCTTATTTAATGTTGATATTTTTTTCATTCCCTTACTGCGATTGTTTACTTGGGAGATACTTTTTTTGTAGTGTTTGAAGTTTTTTTTTTTTTTTTTTTTTTTTTTTTTTTTTTTTTTTTTTTTTAATACAAGTTGGCAGTACTATCCAAGGTAAGTAAAGTATATGGTAGTATGTGGTGCTGGTGAGAAATAAGATGTTCAATGTGTGGATTCTGTAAATAATAGGTATGTTGTTCATATGTTCGAATCCTTGAATTTCTGCTTGCATGCTCATCATAAAGTTCCAACAGCTGCTTACCAAAGCAATTGAATTTAGAAAGCTGTTGTAGAAAGAGTGTAGACTCTTGGAATTTAGTAAAAATATCTACATTAAAGAAATCTTGAAATCAAATTTTAAATAGAAAAAGAAAATAATCACGAAGCTAAACAATATCTTAATTACTATCAAGAAAGTACAATTTGGGATTTGTAAGAAGATAAAAGAAATGTGTGTTATAGTGAAAATGAAATCAGTGCATAGTTAAATGTGTATGCAAATAATTCTGGAATATCACCCTTTATATGATTGTTCAGGAATATTTAGAAAATACAAATCCAAGCCTAAAAAGAATTTGTAATACAAGTGCATGAAAAAAAATGCCTACTTTGAGGAGGAAAAATATCCATAACTTTTATCAGTAATAAAAAGCATATAATTAATTAAGTTCTAATATAAAAATGTCTTTTCATTTTTAAATGTTTAAAAGCAGTAAATGGTATTGTCCTGACTGGCTTTCAATAATGTGCATTTCTAAGAGACTAAATTTTATTCTATGTAATTATCTGAATTAGAGTAGTTATTAGCAGATATGGAGAATCAGCATACTTAAAAATAAATTTAGATGAAGTGGAAGAGCTTATAGTTAACCTCTTCTTGGTCAGCCTCGCATCGTATATGTTTGGCATTTTTGTACTCATAAGGTCAGTGTCACATGGCATGTGACAAAGTGAAAAATTCCACCATTGAAACTGAATTTGTTGCTACTCATATCTTGCTTTAAATTCAACTATTATTTTTGTATTTCTGAATATTGCTGACAGTGCGATTAGTCCATGTTTCTTAACAATTTTCACAGTGAGATTTTCCACCTTGAATATCTGTTATTGAATATCCACGTGATATCTGGTAGAATTTCAATTAAAATAAACATTTGAGATATATTTTATATTTATAGCCAATTTTTTTTTATTAAATATTTTTTTTAAAAAAAAATAAATGTGGTTTTTATGATGCGATGACCAAGGTAGGTTAAATAGCTGTTTTAACGGTAAGGTTGGAAATCCATTTTCTACGTAATTTTAATACAGTGGAACCTCGAGATATGAGCACCTCTATGTATGAGAAATTCAAGATGTGAGGATAGTATGAACGAAAAATTTGTCTCCAAATACAAGCATTGACTCAAGTAATGAGCAACGAGTCAGGGTGTCAGTATGCGTGGCGCCATTTCCCGATCCAGCTCGACTCGGGAAATGCCCTCGTCATATCACTCAGTGTTGTTTGATCTACCTGTTTGTGCACTTGTGGGTCAATTGGCTTTTTGGTTTTTACATTTAATGTGAAAGTTATTATTTTATGATGCCTCCCAAGAAGATTGTTGCCTCAGATAGTGCTGCAAAGAAAAATAAGGAAGCTATGGCTGTTGAAATTAAGAAAGAAATCATAGATAAACAACGGTGGTGACAGAATTGGCGAAGACTTACGGCCCTTCGATGTCGACGATTTGCACTATTCTGAAGAAATTAAGAAACTTGATGTAGCCTAAGAAGTTACCATTACTTCCAAGTACCCATCTCAAACTCCTGGAAGATATTAGAAGCTGCTGTTGGCGTGGATTAACAAGACTCAGTTAAAAGGGGATTCAATGTCAGAAGCTATCATAAAGGTAAACTACGGTTATATTATTTACCAGTGTTATTTATTGGAAAAATTGATTTTTATGTTGATATTTCTGGGAGTGCGGAACGGATTAACTGGATTTCCATTATTTTCAATGGGGAAGTTTATTTCAGGATACAAGGAATTCGCTATAATAGCTCAATGCTGGAACGAATTAAACTCATATCTCGAGTTTCCACTGTAATTATTTTTATGTAGATATTTATATTAAACACATCAAAACAATAGAATTAGTAAAAAAAGTATCACATTGTATTTTTTAAAATTTAAAAATAGGATGAATTGCAGGGAAGACTGGTAATCAGTTGACGGTATATGACATATTTGACTACTCGTAGGTCCATCAAAAACTGCTTACTGTCAAAAATATTTTGCAATTTCAAATTTAGGATAGAACATATATTAATTTTCAGCAATTAAAAAAATGCCTTTTTTGGGTCAGAAACTCGGAAAAAAATCCGACCAAGAAGGGGTTTTAAATTGAAAGATCGTAAAAAGTTATATTGATTGAAAAATTGCACCTAATTTATATTTAAAAGAATATTATTTGTCATCTATTATCAGTTAAAAGTTTGTCTGCTGAGAAATAAATGTGAAGTAAATCATACACAGCAGGGGTTGGCAAATGTTTTTTAGAAAGGGCTAAAAATTTAAGCTGAATGGCCCAAGTAGCAAACATGAAGATGTGAGTGGGTAATTTTCTCATAAAGGGGATTAATTTTGAGTAGTTTAATGAGAGTTAATTTTTTTGTTAGAAAGTGATACATTTATGTAATATTTTTACATGTTTTACTAACACTTAACCCCCAAAAAAGGGGGGAAGAAGAAGGAAAAAATATTTTACACTCACGTATCAAAAAACATTCTTAAATATATTCAAGTTTCTAATGTGAAGAATGTAGTTATTTTGTGAGATAATATTTCATCATATTGGATTTTGAAATTAGTACTTCATGTCATTAAAATTGTTTGCAAATAAAGGGTCATCTGTCAATAATGATCTGAATCAAGATTTTACATACTTAATTTTTGAAAATGTCTTTTCACATTGTTAAATACCCCCAAATATGGATATTCATCCCTGTGTATATGATTTTAATCGAGTGTATTTATCATTTGAAAGATATTTATAAAATTGAGATCATTTTTGACGTATCATTTTGTAAATCAGTCACTTCCATTTGAAAGTCTGATTAAAGCTCCTTAATTGTACAGTCAAATGGATTTTGAAACATGGAAATAGCTTTTGCACTTGCGTCAAGATCCACAAAACACTGTTGTAACTGTAGTACAAGTTCAGAAAATACATCCTGTGTGAACGTTTTTTGCAATGGGGATTTTGCTAACATTTGAAATTTTCTACAGCTTGGAAAATGTTCAAATTTGTTTAATGTTATTTGTGTTTCAGACATTGCAAATATTTAGTGACATACCTTTACAATAGAATGCGTGTCACATAAGAGTGCTGTTTTCCTCTGTAATTTTAAATTGAATTCATTGAAATATCCCATAATGTCTGTGGCAAAAGCAATTTACGTAGCCATTTGCTATTCGATAATAATGGTTGTGGGCAGTTTTTCTCATTTAAAAAAATGTCCATGACATCTCTCAATTCGAAGAATCTCAAGAAAATTTTCCCATTGCTGAGCCTTGAACAGCTATATGATAAAGCAAGTCAGAATATTCAGCTTTAATCTCTAATAAAAATTCACAAAACTGGTGACAGTTAAGTCCACAGGAGTGAGTGAAGTTTACTACTGATACACATAGTTCAATAACAGATTGAGGTGTTTCCCCACAAAGAGCTTGCTGGTGAACAATAGAGTGAATTACTAGAGGTTTTAAACATTTAGAATCTTTCCAAGCCTTAAAAATTTGTCAAACTCATCCTTTCCTCATTCCACACGTGTTTTCGACCATCAGTTGTGACACATTTTAACTGATTCCATTGCAAATTGTGTTCTGTTAGCATTTTCTCAACTTCCTTGATGATATCTTCATCTGCAGTTGTTCCATGTAGATTACTCATGGAAACTAATTTTTCAGTCACCTCAAATTCTGCATTGATCCCTTGAATAAACAATTGGGCAAACAATAAATAATTGGGCCAGGGTTCGTACGGTC